GCGGTGGCGGTGTTGGTCAGGCCAGTGCCCTCCTGGTCCGCGGCCTGGATGATCAGCGTGTAGTTGGGAGTGGTCTGCAAGCCAAAATCATTGTGGTCAGGGCTGGGACGGGGCCCGGCCCTGATGGGCTCGGGGCCACAGACCCCCAGAGCAGGGGACAGTGACCCAGCGATGACAAGTCCCTGAGCCACTGGACCCCACAGCTCCGGCACAGCTGTGGAGCTGCTGCGTGGTCCCCCAGGACACCCCCAGGGTGCCCACCTCCCGGTCCAGCCCGGTGCCAATGACACTGATGATGCCCTTCTCAGGGTCGATGGTGAACATCTGCTGGGCACTCTTGGGCTCCTCGCTCAGGATGGAGTAGCCAATGATGCCGTTGTTCACGTTGATCGCGTCATCTGCGTCCGTGGCGTTCACCGTCATCACGGACGTGCCTGGGCACGGGGACACAGGGCAGGTGTCACTGGTGGGACAAACCCCACCAGAAACCCTGTCGTGGCTCTTGCTCAGGGCTCTGCCAGGCCCCAGTCATGGGGCCCCAGCTGCCAGCCCCACTCACCTGGCTTGGCGTTCTCCTCGATGTAGCCAATGAAGACTTGCTTGGTGAACACGGGCCGGTTGTCATTCTGGTCCGTCACAGTGATGATGATCTCCATGGGGTCCTCCACGGGCTGCCCGTTGGCTGACACGGCGTGGGAGAAGAGCTGCAAGGGCACCATCAGTCCCCGTGCAGCACCGGGGACCATCCTGTCCCAGACCCCCACTCATGACATATTTGACCCCCACTCACAACATATTTATCTTTCTCCTCTCGGTCCAGCGGCTTCGTCACCTCCAGCCACCCTGTCTCCCGCTCGATGGTGAAGATGCCCACGGGGGGGGTGTCTGCCCCCTGCCCTGTGATGCTGTAGAAAACCTTGGTCTCCTTGTCCTTGTTGGATTTGATCTGGAAGGGAAGCAGAGAGGGGTTCAGGTGTCCTGGCAGCCCGGGGACCCCCTGTTCCTGCATCCCATCCCCACGGGGCCATACCTGCACCAGCTTCTTGGGGAAGGGCCCCCGCTCGTTCTCAGGACAGTTGATGGGGGGGATGACCCAGTCCCTCTTCTGCCGCTGGAGGCCATGGCTGGGCTTGGGGAGAGTCAGCACCTCCTGCAGGACAGACAGCAGGGCTGGTGGGCCACCAGGGGGGCAGAGCGCTTGGGGAGACCCCCAGGTGTGCAGCAGCCCCCAGCCCCATTGGGATCATCCTACCAGCAAGAGGAAGATGTGAAGGAGGGTGAAGGTGGAGGGTGTCATGGCTTCTGCCGCGTGGCTGCTCCTCTGGGCGCCAGCTGCAGATTTTCTCTGTGGTGACCGTGACCCTTTGGCCCTGTCCTGCTGGCAAATCCACGTGCCAGCCCATGGGTGGAACAGGCACGCGTAGGCGGGGGCACCGCTGCCACCCCCTGCCCTGAGGGCGCCTGGGAGGGACCCACGGGGGTGCCTGGGTGCTAGGGAGGGGGCAAGGCTGTGAAACCCCCTGGTGAGGGTGAGCACCCTGACCCCCCAGCAGTGTGGGCCTGGGGGTGCCCAGTCTCCAGGCTGGGGGGGTTCTGAGAGTGGCAGCCCCACATTAGGCAGGCAGAGGTGTCCTAGCGGGTCCCCAAGAGCCACAGCCCGGCCCCGGACATGGGGACAGTTGGCACTGGGAGGGGCTCCGCCCCG